TTAACAGTACTTTTTTACCTGCATTCACTTTACATAACTTTGAAATATCTGATAAAACCTTTTGAACCTTAGACTTTAAGGCTGCTACTTTGACGAGGATCTTGGAATCTACTTTGTGAGCAGCACGACAAGGTGCTTGGATCGAGTGACAAGATGATCTTCTTCAGCAATCTCTCTTTTTCTTTAGTCTAAATAACAACTCTTAGGACTTCGAGGTAGCTCGCATAGCGCGACGTAAATCCTCACACCCCCTTTAGACTGCTGCACAACCATGTTGTGCAACATAATTCCTAACTCGTCTTATGTTCTGAAATTGTCGTGTGACATGACGTAAACCCTCTTATTTCTGCGGGCTATTTGCATAATCAGATATTATGCAAATGTAAGTCTCGAATAATAAAATTGGTAGGATTAAACACCTAAATAATATTATCTTCAAAACTCAACCACACATTAGGATAGTTTGGGAAGTCACTGAGGTTTCTCCTCAGGATTTGTGACACTCCAAACCTTTTCCTTCATTTGGATTCCTGAAAATAATTGTTCCTATTTGAGCTACTTTCACTTGTTTTTTTTCGTCCTACCGTGAAAACCTAATCTTTGAATTCTTGAAGACTAGTATCTCTGATCATTATCGAGAGTTTTCTCAATCCCAATCATTTGGGATATAATTAACTATAAGGGTTTGTCTCTATAAGGAACAAAATAAACTCTACTTAATTTTTATGTTAGGTAGACAAAAATGTTCGCAGACCAAACGGATGCCATAAATTTCTTAGTTTGCAGGATTAAGTCTATCGTCGGGATATTCACTCATCTTTCGGAAATGTGTATTGTTCATGATATCGGACACGATTATGTAAACTATTAGACGAATGAGATTCATTTGGTCTCATTTTTCAAAAATTGAAACATGTTACTTTCAAAACCCAAACTATATGCCTATTATATTAAATTAAATTTCAAAATTATTTTTTAATTTTCAAAATAAAAAAAAAGTTGATTGACAACCATTAACAGTTTGGATGCTCTCTGCTAGAGGAGTGTAGAAAGAAAACTCTCAAGCATTACCTGTCATATATCGAGATATACTAGATTCTATTATTCATTCTGATGATCTTATGGTAAAAATAGAGACAAGAGCATTTGTATCACAAGTCCCTTTATCAGAGGAGCCATAAGTGACAATGTTGCCCTTTGATGACAGCTGGTTGGAAGCATCCTTAGCCTCATCTCCTGCAGCATTCTGCTTCTTCTTCAATAACTCCAGACGCTCATGATTCCGATTGATAAAAATAAAACTCATCTTTCTCTCTTCTGCTACCGTCATATTTGCTCGGTAGCTCCTTTTTTTACCTTTTCGACCGCTGCAGCTATGACTATGTCCTTCATCCTGTTCACATCCACCCTTCTCTTTCTCCTTGAGTGGCTTAGGATAGGTCTTGCTTCAGATGCCCGACTTTATCACAATTGTAGCACTTGCAAATCTTCCCGTTGACACTTATCATACCTGAGCTCGAGGCAGCAAACATTGATTCTGCACCTGGAAGACACTCAACTTAGAGTGTAGCTTCATATGACTCTCCTTTTGTATCATTGTAGCAATGGCCTCATCCAGTGAAGGGATAGTCCCCTGAGTTAGAGGACAGACCTTTGATGAAAGGTCGGCTTCAGATGGACAAAAAGCTTCAAAGTTCTAATATGTGTAAAGATTTACCCTTTCTTGCATACCAAATCATCACAGTTCGATATCGATGAGAAGTGATCAAGATCTGCACACAATCGCTCCAAATTTATGGCGTATTTCTGAATAAACCTATCACCGTGTACCACTGTGTTTATCCCATGCTGCATCTGAAGCACCCTCATTTGGTTCTCCGCCTCAACATTAATCCTCTTTAGTTTTGCTCAGATGTCTCTCACCTTTTGAATGTCATCTACTGTAGATACAATTGACTGAATCATCGAGTTGAGTAAACAGGTGTAGATGAAGGTGTGTTTAGTTCTCCACTTATCTCCCTTAGCACAATCACTCTTTGGTTTGTCCCCGATCAGATTTCTCTCTAGTTTCTTCTCTACTAGAGCAGCCTCCACCCTATCCACGTCCACCAGTCTCTCTCTCCTTAGGTGGCCTGGGACAGGTCTTGCTCAGATACTTGACAACACCATAGTTGTAGCACATGCAAGTTTCTCCATGGACACCTAGCATACCTAAGCTTGAGACAGTAAACATTGATTGCTCGCCCGGAAGTTCACTCGGCTCAGAGTGTAGCATCATGCGACTCTTCTCCTGTATTATTGCAGCAATGACCTCATCTTGTGAAGGGATAGTTGACTGAGCTAAGAGGACTGATCTCCCTGATCAAAGGTCGGGTTTAGATGGGTCAGAAATTGCATAGTCCTCATCTGTGTAAAGATCTCCTCTTTTTTGCACTCCAGATCGCCACAACTCAACATCGGTGAGAAGTGATCAAAATCTGTCCACAAACGCTCCAAATCTATGGCGTATTCCTAAATCAATCTACCACCATGTACCACTGCTTCTATCTCACGCTGACTCTGAAACGTCTTCATGTGGTTCCCTGTCCCAGCATAAAGCTTCTTCAGCTTGCCCAAACGTCCCTCTCTTTCGAATGCCATCTAATGAGGATGCAATTGACGAAATCATCGAGTTGAGTAGTCAGGTGTAGATTAAGGCGTGTGTGGTTCTCCACTTATCTGTCTTAGCACTGCCACTCTTTGGTTCGTCCCCGATCAGATATCCCTCTAGTCTTTTCCATACTATAGTTGCCTCAACCCGATGCGACCAACTCAAATCCACAGGAGGGAGATCTAGCTTCACCTGTGTCGAAACACGTGCTATGGTAGTGGCTCCTGTCAAGATGTTTGCTTCTTGTATGAGCCCGACCAAGACCTGCAGAACTTCGGGATTTTTTTTCTCCAGAAGCTTCAGTCTTTTACCTTCCACACTATCTCCATCTCCTGACATCCTCAATCGCAAAAGCCTATATCAAACAAATCAGATCACACATTCTTCGCGTCTGTACGTCGTGATTCCATTGTTGCCTTCTCAATTAGCTTTAATCGGAACATTATCACCGTGATCCTGCATGGCCTCCCTGAGTAGCTCCAATCGCAAATGTATGTGAAACTTCAAGTCGTCGTTCCGTCGTTAGCATCCCAGGTAGCTCCAATCACGACTATATCGCGAAACTTCATGCGGCATTCCCATTGAATGTTTCGTCCGGCTTCACGAGGACTGAAGAGGAAGGACGATAATGGACCGAAAAGTTGGTTTGTCCCGTGATTTGGTGCGACAGTCTTCTCCACCTCGACTCCCAATGAAGCGAAACTCATCTAACCAACAACCATCGGCCGCAATGATGCTTTTAAGGCGGAACAAAAGTAGAAGGGAAGCATGTTCTCTTGAATCAGCTTTCTAATGGAGACCGGCGAGCCGGATCGAAGAGGAAGGAAAGGAAATTACGGTTCTTTGAACGCTCGATTCCGACGATCGGACAACACTTCGATGGTTGCAAGGTTAGGGCTTTGATACCAAGTAGAAAGAATAGCTCAAACCTACTTTGTACATTCATAACATGGGTTTAAGTAGGGTATTACAATGTTTTACAAATGAACCCCTAGACTTCTTCAATATTCTCTTTTTTACCAATAAAACCCTAAATTAGGTCCAATTCTCAATAACATTAGATTCCTGCATTCAGTTTTTGAGGTTTTATATTATGATTACTTGAATTTCTATATAAAGAGGGCTTTAGAACAATAAGGAGCCTCATCAATGATGGTTCTTTACCTCTAGCAAAGGCTATCTCCTCTAAGACGTCTTCCTTTCTAATGTGTTATGTGAACCTAAGTTTTCTATCCATTTATTATTCCTTCTTTGTTTAATTAAGTCCCAAAGTTGCTCCGTGACCTTTTTATTCTTCTCATTTTGTTTTCTAGGATCTCTATATGAGGAAAATAGTTGGTGTTCATGAGAGTTTTGATGTTAGAGGACGTTAATACCTGACGAACATGATATTCTTTGCATTCTTATTAATCATTACACATATCTCTGGTCTTTTTGTTTCAATAATCCTTCATTCATCATCATGAATTAAAGTATATCTAAATTTGAATGTTATCCTCGTGAACACTGTAAACATTATCACTTTCTTTTTCTTCACTATGTCATGTCCCTCTATAGCCTCATTTAAGTTTGCTCGTTGTGACATTTGGAGAGCTAGTCTTGTCAATGTTCTTTTAGGTTTTAAGTTTTTTTTTTTTTTTTTAATCTCTATTGATGATCTTCTTGTATTACTTGGGTTCACTTGCAAAACTGCTGGTCTCAAGTTTTATCAATCATTTATATTTTCTATCAGGAATTAGAAGTTCAATTTTCTATTTTGATTAAAATTCTTCTTATTAATAATTCGCTTGAATATATGCTGTCTCAGTTTCACTTTTGTGTTAACAATTGGTCCCTAGTATTAGAAATAACTAAAAGATATAGCTCTTATATCAATAAAAAGATATAGCTCTTAAAATACAAGAATTACAAAAATATTAGAAAAATAAAAGCAAATCTTAGTTTGAATAGGGAGATAACTCTCTCAGAAGTGTCCTTTTTTAGACTCGCACCTGATCAAAGGACAAATTTTGGAGCAGATAGGTTTTACCCTTCCACAATATGATTTTTTTTTTCATACTTTATAATACATTAATTTATGATTACAAAATAAATTAGATATTGTTAAAAACATACTAATAAATTACCAACAAATGTTTTAAGGTAATCCTAAAGACAAAATGATTAAAAAAATATAAAAATATATTCTGATGATAAAATTTCAGAATTTATGCTCTTAATCAATATGCGAGTGGATTATATTGTTTTCAGCTCTTATTCTAGTTTTGGTGAGCATCCCTGGTGTAAATTTATGCTGCTTTTCTACTTATTTTCTTCTCTTTATGGGTATTAATGGTTTTCCTCCATGCAGTCATTTCTACTCTTATGAACTTCGTCGTAATGTTCCGGCGAGCTCACCAGGAGAACTGCAAACAAGCTGACCTTGAGAAAAAGAAAGTTCTGAAGGGTGCTGAAGAAGAGAAGTGTAAAACTCCAAATCCTAGAAATAAAGTGGTTAGTAATCCCCTGCCCCTAAAGCCTATCTAAAAGTAAGCCAAAATATTGAAACGAGAGAATTAAATATAAAACTAGGATTGCAAAAGGAAATGAAGAATTTGTAATTATTATTTTTTTTCAATTTTTTATTTTTATTTTTATTTGGCAGCATGATATGAGTCTGAGTGCTCAGCTACAACAGTCTCTGGATAGGTCCAAAAATGCAAACCAGCAAGGAAAAAATTTTAGATGACATTTTACCTGCTACAACCTTGGAATAATGATAATTTGACAAATACAAAAACGTATTCCCCCTCCCCTCCTGAAATCTTTCTCGGAGGGCCTCGCGAGTTCTTAAGGAGATTTAATGATGACCAAGCTGAAACCGTCTGCTTTGAAATGCATCGAAGAATGGGGATCATATGTGGTATTTAATTGCTTTATAATTCACATATTTTTTTTATTTTTTTAGGCTTTCTGATGAGTTTGGGTTTGTTTGGTTAACTGAATTTCTAGTGTAAAGTAAACCAAATGTAGGGATTTTTAAAACTTTGGCATTTGGTTAAGATATAAAATTTTGGTGAATTTGGAGTTCATCCACAGTTTAAAACCGTTGTACTCCGAATTCATCAATTTTGGGCAAATTTTAAATACTCTTAACCGCCACCTATGACCCACCGCCGCTCCTTTGCCACCCACTGCAGCCTGCCACCAATCGCTTCCCACGGTCGCCGGCTGCTACCGCCTCAGGCACTCATCATGCTTTACATTAATTTCATGTTTCTTCAACCAAGTCAAAATATAAACTACTATATTTATTTTAAGTAGAATTAAACAACTCTAAAATATTTCAAATATATCACATTTTAGTTATACTGTCTTCTTCTTTAGCAAACTGAATGGCCCTTATGAATCGAGTTAGCACCCAACTTCTTAACAAAGGCACTTTAACACGTAGTTGCTAATTAAGGTTTTTTTTTCTCCTTACAGAGTTTTTTGAGACAACATGCTGTTGTTCTTGGCCAGATGCTGCCGTAGGTCCTGTAACTACTGTACAGTTTTCTAACCTGCATTCTTCCATTTTTGTTTTAATTTAATCTGTATTTTCTTACGATTAACGAGCGTAGCAAAAGTGATTGAAGTGATGTATGTTTTTATTCCGCTAATAAAATCAGTTTTGTATAGAAGCGAAAAGTTGATATCATGCAATTTATATTGCATCAGATATGGTAATTTTTTTGTCTTTTCTTTATCTCTCAAATCTCCAACTCACCCAGATTTCATCTGGATTGTCAGTTTGCTTGTAGATTTCTTTGTTTTGGTTTTTGGATCATCTACATACATACCACACAATTCTATTGTATTTGCATATCTGGCACATAAACTTTCATATTTACACCCAAAGCACTCAAACCTTTAATATCACATCAAAAATGGCACTATTATCATTTTTTAAAAGTGAAATACACACTTTCATACCTAGATTTAAAACACCTATGTATGTAAATATGAAAGTTTAGGTCTGAGATATGTAAATAGATGAGAATTTTAAGGATGACAGTGGAGGTTATGTACTGCAAAATTTGTGGAGATGGCCTATGCGAGAATTTTGTTGTCCAGGAGAACCAGCCCGTTAAAATAGGTATTAGAGAAGCAATAATATATATATATATTATATATATATATGATTGAGGGATTCTGCCTATGTGTAGCAAAGAAAGCATTGTGGGATGCAATGAATTTTTCTAGCCCTTAGGGAATCCACAGTTTATATATATTTATGAACAGCCATCCAGGAGAATATAGAGTATCTAAGGGTGTAGTTTTTATGCAAATTAAATTTGCTCAGTTAGCTATGCATCTCATAATAAAGGGGGTCCTCAATTCCTTTCCGAAGGAGTCTGCCAGCTGAATGGTGAATTTGAATAGCCTCAATATTGTTGATGGTTCCATTGAGATGAGTCTATGATATGGTTGAGATGAGCATTCTGTTGGAATTGGAAGGTGTTGATGTCAATAATCTCCCAAAAGCTTTTACCACAGATCCATGGATTCTATAGGAGCACAATGTTGGAATCATCACCGATGGAGTAAGATAGGGAATGTGTAATAGTGTTTGTTATGCACTTAAGCTTCTTTCGAAAGAACGTCTGACACCTCTCTAAGGCTCCCAAAAAGTGTTTGGGAAGCAGATTTATCGGGAAGATGATTGGGGAATAGCAAAAGAATAAGAATACAGGCGGTTAGGAGTGTTTGGAGGGGAATAGATAATGTTCAGTGATAGTTTGTATCGATGCCATGGTTTGAAGGTATGACAAAGAGTGTCAAAGAGCACATCATGGAGCCAAAAGTCGTTGTTGTGGAATCATCTTAACAAGAGCAAGGTCGTCAGGAACAACGAGATCTGGCTGCATCTAAACCAAATGAGAGGTCTAAGGATTTCATGCATGGTTTTAATTTGCGCCTTGCTTGGATGGAGGTGACGATGAAGGGCATGGAGGCTCAGATAGACGATCTTGGCCAAAAAGTGTATGGGCTTGAAGAGAATGACATCACCATCCATTTTACGATCAGAGGTATGATGCTTCAACTTGAGGAATCCTTAAAAAAATAAATGAAGAAGATGCGAGAGAACTTGATGGGGGAGCTCCGATCTCATGAGGAAGAGATGGGAAACATACGTGCCATCTTGGAGGATATGCGTGGAGACATTTCTATGCAATAGAGCACTAACATTATCCACTAATCACCATACTTTTGAAGTCAAACACATTGAAGTGTCAAATCCTAAGAGTTTTGGAGGAATTCACAACACAAAAGAAATAGACAACTTCTTATGGGGACTTGAGCAATATTTTGGAGTCACGAGGATTGCAGATGAACATGCAAGAATTCAATTTGCAACTCTTTATCTCACAGATGTATCTTTGTTGTGGTGGAAGAGAAGGCTAGGAGATATAGAGAAAAGGTATGTGTACCATATCCACCTTCAATGATTTCAAGAAAGAGCTTAAGAGAATTTTATCCTGAGAATGTGGAGGATGAGGCTAGAGCTCGATTGTGAAAGCTCGAACAAGAGGGATCGATGCAGGAATATATTAAGGAGTTGTCTTATTCTTAGAGTACCCGACATGTTTGACAAGGGCGTTCTCTTCAACTTCATGGATGGACTCCAACAGTGGGCGAAGACAGAGCTTAGAAATTGCAGAGTGCAAGATCTTGTTGTTGCCATTGATTTCACTGAAGGCTTAATTGACTACTAAAAAAAGTTCACAAAGCTCAAAGATAAGAATAGCACCTATGATAGAAATGGGGGAGACAAAGACCAACAAAGGAAGAAGCTCGTCAGGACTCGACATCTTCCAAAGATAAAGACAAAGGGAAGCTTAATAACAACAAAGCTAAACCACATAGCAACTGCTTCCTTTGTAGAGGACCCTATTGGGCAAGGGATTGTCCTCAAAAAAGCCTTGAACGCTCTATTAGTGAGTCATCGTGAAGAAGCAAGAGGAAATAATATGGTGGCACAAGTAGGGTTTATGCAATTGATGAATGGGATGCAAACTTCAACAAAACCCTAATCAAATAGGTTACTCTTTATGGAGATGGTAATAGGTGAGAAGACCACTAGAACCATGGTGGACACAAGTGCTTCTCACAACTTCATCTTCTCCAATGAAGTAAACAGGTTGGGTCTGCAAATAACGGAAGGACACTCCATTAAGGTTGTCAATTCAGAGGTAAGGCCAATCTAATGGATGATTTTAAAGATGTTATAGGGCATGACTTCTTGGATCAAGCCAAAGCATTCCTAATAACCTTCGCCAATAACATGTGTATTATGAAAACCAATCAAGCTTGCTTAGTACCAACAATAAGGACTAGCAAGCAAAAAACTAAGCTATTATCAGTCATCCAATTCATGAAGGGCAACAGACGAGAGGAGGGAAGCTACTTAACTATTCTTTATAATGAAGAACCAAAGGCCCAAGAAGATGGGTCAAGGGATGTAGCAAAGGTAATCGATAAGTACAAAAGTAAGTTACCAAACGAATGTAGCAATGGTGATTTCTCTAGCAGTAACTAGTGGGTGGAGGTTACGCCAACTTAATGTGAAGAATGCATTTCTTCATGGTGAGTTATTGGAGGAGGTATATATGAAGATACAACTAAGATTCAGTACAATCCAGACAATGGGCAAAGTGTGTAGGCTCAACAAGTCATAGCATGACTTGAAGCGGTCTCCTTGAGCTTGGTTTGATAAGTTTAAAAAGACTATAGTGGGCATATGATATCACCAGATCAATGTTGATCATACGGTGTTCTTTCGACAACATAAATGTCACACTGCTATCTTTGATGTAGATTTTGATAACGTCATTGTCACCGGTGATGATGAAACAGAAATTGTCCAACTAAAAGAGTGGGCAATGAATTTGAGGTAAAGGATCTTGGATAACTTAGATATTTTATTGGTATTGAAGTGACCCGTCAACCAAACATGATGATTTTGTCCCAGAGAAAGTATATATTATATCTCCTCACAAAAATAGGCATGCTATGGTGCAAACCTGCAACCTCTCCAATTGACTAGAAGGTCACGCTGAGTGCGGAGGCGGGAGAATCACTTGATCGTGAGAAGTACTAGAGACGGTAGGTCGTCTGATCCATCTGTGTCACACTTGATCCGACATCTCGTTTGTCGTGAGCGTGGTGAGCCGCTACATGCATGATCCAAGGAAGGGTCATATGGATGCAGTTTATTAGATTTTGAGGTACCTGAAGAGTGTACCAGGAAAGGGGTGATCTTCAGGAAGAATGGACGTGTAGACATTGAGTGCTTTTGTGATGTTGATTGAGCGAGTTGTGCAAATGACAGAAGATCCACCTTAGGATATTGCATGTTTGTAGGGGGCAACTTGGTCACTTGGAAGAATAAGAAACCGTCAGCAATATCAAGGTCAACAGTAGAGGTAGAGTATAGGGTCATGACCTTAGGATTTGTTGAGATGTTGTGGCTGAAAGCCTCATTAATTGAGCTCAAGGTGGACCAAGGAACTCAAATGAAGTTATGGTGTGACAACAAATCAATAATCAACATTGTCAACAACCTGATGTAACATGATAGAACCGAACATGTGGAGATTGATATATTCTTCATCAAGGAAAAGTTAAATGACGAACTACTGGAGAGCAAGTGGTCGACTGCCTCACTAAAAGACTCAGATCCTTAGATTTATCTAGGTTATGTGACATGATGGGTTTGGTGGATATCTTTTGCTCATTTTAAGGAAGTGCGTTGAGAATTGGACCTTGTTTAGGCTCCTATTAGTAAAAGGAAAATATTGAAGAAGTTTAGGAGCTTATTTGTAAAACATTGTAATACTCTATTTAAGCCCTTGTAATGAATGAACATATTAGGTTTTTGAAAATTCCTTCTATTGTTCAAAATCTGACTCTTCGATATCAAATTGATGTTGTGTAATTCTTATTCTCTCCTAAATACTCATTCTAACTGTCATTTCATTGTAACACCAACTTAAATTAATTTTTTTTCTCTCTTTCAATTTAAATAAGTCAGTTCAAACTCGTAGAGTTAAGCTCGAGCTCAGGCTGAGAGTGTCTCAAGCCTAACTCAACTCGTCTACACTCCTACTCTCAACCACTAAGCCAAAATAACTTGCATTGTTATTGTATTTTCTTTGTTATTATTCGATAACTAAAACCGATGGTCGATGTTCCCCATTATTCGATAACTAAAGAGCATTGATGTCATCTAATGCTCTTTAGGCTCTAGTCGTTTGATATCCACCTCTCATAATCGACTGTTAAGACGACCATTGGAGACTTCTAGCTGTCATCTTTCTAGTCCTGAGTGAATATGAATTGCTATAATTAGTTGTTCATGTTGACGACTAATTTAATTGGACTGGATCCATAATTTCTTATTTTATTTGGCTTTTAATGTAAAAGTAATAATGCTTGCATTTGTGTGTGCATGCAAAAGGAAATTCGCATTGTTCTATTACAAGCCAAATAAGATTGGGTAAAATAATATATTGCTTTTCAATTCATAGCCAGAGAAAAAGAAATTTCACATAAATACCACCCAAAACTATATATTTATGTAGAGTAACATGCCAAAATAGTCCCGATTATTTGCATGGGGCCGTTTTAGTCCCTACTCTTAAAAGTTGGAGCTGAAATAGTCACTATTGAAGATTGTTAGAATTAAATTTTAAAATAAATGGGATTTATTTGGACATTTCTATAAATTCTGAGATTAACACGGCTTCGTGTGTAAATAGTCAGGATTATTTATGCATATAACATCTAAGGTTACTTCTTCACATTTATACCACAAATCTTTTATGGCATGTAATATATATATATATATATATGCGTATAAAGACAAGGCATGTATAAGCACGAAAGAAGATGCGACACTAATTTAGGATATATTTAATTTAAATGTTAAATAATTAATAATAATAAAATTATAATGAAAATAGCAAAATTAAAAAAAATAAAATAAAACAATTGAAGCATTGTTAATTACAAATTAAGCATCCAAGTAATTTTTTAAAATTATGAAATGGATGAATTTTAATCTTTGAAAATTTAAAAATGGATGGAAGGTGTGCTTTGTAAATAGTCAAGTTTAGGGTGCTATATTTGTAATTGCTCTATTTTAAGCTTATTCCATGCAAATAGAGCATTGAATTATGTCTGCTAACAACTCAGTTATGATATTTTTTCAGTATTTTGATTGAATTAAGTTAGCTGAACTTAATGTCTAAATATTGTAAAATAATGGATCATAAATGTCAAGTTGACCAAAGCATATTTACTTGCATTCAATACAATTCTTATGTAACTATATATCTAATATGTGTGTGTGCGTGCATCTCTTAAATAGATTTAGTGCAATACTGTGCTCATTCATAATGTTTTTATGAAAAGATTATGATATGGGCGTAAGACAGCGCTTTTAAAGAGAATAGATTTGTGTCCTTGCAAATATTGATATTCATCTTTCATGGATCTCCCTCCCTATATGGGCTAGATCACCTCCGAGGGTGAGATAAATCTAGATAGGGCTGTAAACGAGCTGAGCTCAAGCCAGCTCAGGCTTTGTTCGTGTTTGGCTTGTTCAAAATTGACCCGTGGGCTCCATTTAAATATTCTTATTTGTGTTTGGCTCGAAATTGGCTAATTAAAATAAATAGATACATAGTGTTGAATTCAAACCTGGACCAAATCTATCCAAAAGAAGACGCAAAATCATATGACCACATGAGCTTAAACTTAGATATAAATATATATAATATATTATTATATAAATGATTATATGATTTTTTTTTTAATTCGAGCTAAAACGAGTCGAACACGAGCGAACAAAGAGTTGTTCGTGTTCAGCTCATTTATAGTTCAAGTTTAAAAAATTTGTTCGCATTCGATTTACTTATTTAATAAATCATTCGAATATAAACTACTTAATAAGTCGAACACGAGTTATTTTAAAGTCTTAAGATTTGTTTAAGCAGTTATTGGCGTAAATAATATATAACACTTAAATTTTTAACATAACATAAAAAATGTGAATTCCCCTCGTGACATAAAAAAGAAATTAAATATTTAATTTAACTGTTAAATAATTAGTAATATTAAAAATTATTAATATATTTTTAAAACCGAATCCCTTCACGTGCCCCGCAGCGGATCAATCTGAGCCGAACCCATGCATGTAGCCTTTCCTGTAGCCGCACCCGCCACAGGAACGCAACGGCTGTAGCCTCCCCAATGACTCGTACGTACTTCTCATCTCGCGATATGATACGGAAAAAGTGGGAGCCGACAAAATGTATGGAAAGGAGAGAGAAAGTCATCATGAGTTCTTCTGACGTCTCATAAAAGAGAGAGAGAGAGTAGAGATAGAAAGAGAAAAAAGAGAGAGAAAATGGAAAGCTTTGGGTAACGGGCGGCAAAAACTGGTGCTGTTGCCCGCATTCATTGGAGGGGTTTTAATTAACCCTTCTTTATTACTTAGAATCCCCCTCAGATCTGTAATTATAAGCCTGCATTTCTTTCCTTAAATCATTATAAATATGACCTGAAATCCAGTCAATGCAAATTTTTTATAATGATGAGGGTTCTCTTCTTTGCATATGAGAAATCAAAATCACATGCACTTTAAACGTGTTAAAATTGGCTAGATTATGATGATTGACACTCCAACTGAGATTGTAGTGTTATATACGAGCACTGCAGTGTCGTGCTCTCAAATTTTTGAGCTTTGCCTAGACATTGTGTCGTCGTCTTCCTGGTCTGCTGCCTCGACTCTGAGGCGCTACTAATCTGACGTTCCCCCTACCCCTGGATGAAACTAAGAGCTCTAAGCGAGTAATTGCACGACACGATAAGACTCTACGTAATAGTATATTTATCTCAAATTTGATTATAATAGTTTTTAAAATTACCAATATTAACAATGATTATTTTATTGAAATTTCAAATGGATGGGTTTATGTAAATGTTCTATGAATGCACTGCTGATTAAATAGTAAATATCACATATTTTTGTTATATTTAAAGATATTAAATGTAATAAACTATAGTTTTGTTGACTTGTAACTACTTAAATTTAGTTATATACCGACTCTTAATAATCGAAATTATTAAAAAAGTTAATTTTACTTCATTTTAGTTAAAATTAAGACTAATTTTGCTCTCCAGACTGAAAATTTTGAAATTTATGGGTTAGTGATGTAAATATACAGGAGTTTAGTGGTATATATGTAAATCTCCCAACAAATGACTTCAATTTTTTGCCGTTTACGTATGTAAACTCAGGGAGGAACCGGAGAACAGATGTAGAGAGAGAAGCTGATGGGTTTATTTTTCAAGAGGAGAGAGAGGGTGCAACGATTGACAGAGAAAGGAGAGAGAAAGGGGGTAATTTGCAGAGGAGGGAGAGGAGAGAGAATGCTGCCTTTGAGAAGAAAAGAGAGAAAAAGGGGTAACTTTCAGAGACGGGGAGAGAGAATGCTGCGATGGGAATGGAAGAAAAGAGAGAGAAAGCGGCAAAACCTGGACTGTTTAGGAGAAGGAGACGTCGCTGTCTTTGTATCTAATGCTATCATTCAGACGCCACCACAAAGATACTGTTTGCCGCTTAAGAGAGAGAAAGCGACTGTAGAGAGAGAAACTAGAGAGAGGAGAGAGAACATAGAGAGTTCAAATCTTCACAATTCCATCAATCTTTCACATTTTGCATCACTTCTATTGTCTTTTGTTGGAGTATTTAAGACATGATTTCATGTGTCTTATATTTATCATAATATATAATCTATGCAATTATATTGACATTATATAAATTTATTTTGCAAGAATTTAGTTCATATGAATTAAACATTTTTATTTTTTGGCTAACAATCACATTAAATTTTAGTTCAAAATGCTTTTTTTTTTTAATTTTTACATATCAATCACAAGAAATATTAAATATAACATTTTAACCCTTCAAAATTCAAATATAATATTTTAATCATTTAAAACCCTCATGAATGAGCTTAGGAGGGTAGTTATAATAAAAAAATTTTTGTTAAAATATTATAATTAAAATTAGGGTTTAAAATATTATATTTAATATTACATTTTTTTAATTTTATTTTTTGTATAAAAATAAAATATTTGATCTTAAATCATAATTCAATCTTGAGAGCTATGAAGTAGTATTAACCATTGCTTTCTATGCCTTTAAGGGCAAATAAATAATATTAAATTATAGAATTAATGGCCAAAATATTACTTATAATTAAAAAATGATTGAAAAAATAATATCATATATTTATGGCCCAAATAAAAGAAATAAGTTGACCCTTTCACTCAATTCATATACATTTACATATCTTTCATATCAAATCATTTAAGAAAATACACAATTCCATGCTTAAATAAGGTCACATCTATAAATTAAAATTGTAGCTTGTTTAGATAGATATGCAAATATATAAGAAATGAGTGGCATCTGTTATGTAAATAAATCGTTACATGTTCTTATGTTTTTACATTAACACGCCCAAAGTTTACTTTTTTTACATTTTTACCTCCTAAACTTGCCATATCACATCGAAAATATCATCATTTTAACTTTTAAAATGTGAAATACACGGTTACTTAGTGGTAAGTTGCAATGCATGTAAAAACTGAAAGTTCGATGATCCATTTGTAATTACATAAGAATCTAGGGGCGTGCATGTAAAACTTCCAAAAAGGTAAATGATGAACAGTCAGCTAGCTAAGCTCCCAGTCCTAGATACAAAATATAATATGAAGAAACAAATTCAAATTAGAATAAAAATGACATCTTTCCCATACTGCAACATGCAAAAATCCTAAAAACAAGGGGTAATATGATAATTCCATCCAATTTCAAACACAAACATTTTTTCAATCCATATTTTCAGACAATTACAGCTCTCACAATTGATCTATGCATGCAAAAATCTATACACAAATTACAGCAAGAAACTGTCACATCAACAATAAAACATAAGCTTCTTCACACTATCTCTAATCTTCGGCAATGGCTCCGCCTTCCCCGGCTTCGTTCTGCAGACTGCACTACTTCTCCTCCCAGCGTTAAACTCTGCTCCTCTCTCAATATACAATCTCCCTCTATACGCAGCCAAATGCGCATAATAAGCCGGCGGCACAAGCGAAACAGGCTTCGTACATCTCACAAATGTGTAGCACAGGTCATGTATCAGCTTCTGAAACTCATCGGATTTGAATTTGTTCTCATCCCACAGCACATGATAATGCGTCGGTCTGCTCGTCCCCTTCATCCCCCAATGGCTGCACAAAAAGAAATCAAATTCCCTCGGATGAGTTATCACTGTATCCACCACCGTCCCCGGCGGTATGTTCTCGCCGCAAAATTGAAGCTTTTGATTCACAAACAATCTCGTGTGGTGCCGCTTCTGCACCACCGCGAAGGTTATGGACGGCTGGTAATCCCCAAACTTGGAACAAGCCGTGCGAATCGCGCGGAGTTCATGTTTCAGCACCTTCTGAAACTGCGTCTCGCTTACGCCGTCCCTGAAGAAGATGATGCGCGCCGGAAGCCGGCGAACAGAGGCGACGAAATCTTCGAGAAGTTCCCGCACCATTTGGTCCAGTTCTTCGATGATTTCTTGCCGGTGAGTTTGAGATCTCATGCGGGGAATGTATTTGTTGGCCGCCGGCCAGTTCATGCTGGCAACGACGGCGGCCACGGATGGGCTGGAGTCGTCGAGCGGATGCGGGTGGGTTACGTCGGCACCCATGAACATGGCAGGTTCGTCGCCGGCAAAAATGCAGGGGAATTGGCAGGGGATGGTGTTGAAGAGAGCCACATTGCTGCCTCCGAGTTTGGCGTTTATCTTTAATGCGAGATTGGAGAGGAATTGGGGGCTCAGTTTGGTGAGATTTGAATATAGGCAGCATTGGCTGACAACGCCAATGCCGGTTTCTGCAATTCGTTTCAAATCCGCATATCCCCTGTGCTTCTTCTCCATCACAAAGATCAAAAGTTGAAGATTTGATGAAGAAGATTCATGAATTTTTCTGAGTTTGGAATCTAAAGCTGAGACATTGTTGAGAATCTTCATCGGCTCGAATAGAGGGGGGATGAAGGTGGATTTGTTCAGCAAAATTCCAGCTTGTTCGCAGCGGAGCGAGAGCTGGTTGATGAAGTTGGGGATCGAGGAGTGGTGTTCGGCGGCGCCACCGAAGCTGATCAAAGCCCATTGTTTGATTTGGGTGCCCTCGGCGACGTGGGAGTTGAGAAGATTCCACTGCCGATCTTGCCGCGAAGGAGTGAGATCTCTGATGTGGCCGCCGTCGCCAAGTTTTAGCTTGGGAGGTTGGAGAATTCTTCCATGGAGCTGGGTCATCTCCCTTGATATGTCGAGCTTGAACTCCTTGGCATAGCGACCACTGCAAATATTTGCAAAGTTAGAACTGCTAAACAAATTCATATAGGGTTTTTATGTAATTTGTTTAAAGATGAGAACATTTAGATAAAAATTAGATAAGTTTACAATTCTTATGTATTTTTTACATATCTAATCCCTAAAATTTGATCTTTTCTACATTTATAACATTAACATATACATAAAAAGATGCTAAAGTGATATTTTTGATGTGATGTGAAAAAATTTGAATGTTATAAATGTAATATGTAAATACATAAGAATTTTGGTGATATAAAAGTCACCAAAATTTAGATACGTACCATAACAATTTTTATGGATTTACAAATCAAATACCTAAAAGTTTGATATTTACATCTACACCACATTGATACTATAAACCTATGCATAAAAAAATGCAAATGACCTATTTTTACATACATAAAACCTTAGTTAAGCATCAAGGAAAAGATGTAATATAATTCATTTTTTAAAAGTTTAAGAAAAAAAGCAAATTTTTTTATGTGATACAAAAGATTTGAATGGTATAAATGTAAGAAAAAAAAAAGCAAAATTTATAGAAATTGAGAAGGTATTTATGCAAATGCCCTTAAAAGATTGCAATGTGAATCACCTAGTTGGACCATCTTCTCCTTTCATGATCTTATTGATAATCTCTCTTCGTTCCGCCGGTCTTTGGCAGCCCATCTTAAAGATCTTCGCAGTCTGATCATCCGAAAGCTTTCCCAGAAACTTCTGCCCATCACAGACCACACAGAGCTCCATGGGAAGATAACACGGCTTGCTCCTACTTATCTGCAGACATGGAAGCTTTCTGAACTGTATCTCATAGCTGTACTGATCCTTATAGTACTCAACCAACGAAAGCTCCGTTCCATCCCTGTCTCTGAACTTCAGATTCTCTGCAACTTCGTTTGTCAAACCATAGACTCGATATCTTTGATCTGTTTCTCTGTGACAGACAAAGATTCTTATGTTTTTCAAAGCTTTTTCCACTTCCTTCTTCTCCTCCTCGCTAAAACTCCTTGTTTTAGCTTCAGAAAGATCTTTCAGCGACTTGCAGTGTTTCTGCAAGTAAGGAATGACGCCAATGCTCTCATGAAAAGCAGTCACTGAGAAATCTAAGTTGAGAGATAAGCCTTGCTGAGTCGCTCTGAGGCTCTGGAAGAAACCTCTGAGTCCCACAGCTCCTCCGCCAATGTCTTTAGCTCCTCCCATGGAGCTGGAGAACAGAGAACGACCGATTGAGATGCAGTTCTCAGCAGGGCTTTCGCGAAGAACGACATCTAAGGCATGAAGATAGTCCTGAGGAAGGGGGATTCCATCTTTTTCATCTTCTTTCAGATATCTGTTTAAGTCCTCTCCACTTAGTCTGGATGCCAATCTGATGCTAACTCTAAAAAGCTTTGATTTTGGACTCACAGACGCATCAACACCACTTCCCTTATTCAGAGATTGAGATTTGGAAGTTGGAAGAGTGACAAAAAACTCAATTTTGTCGTCATGGAACTCAACGGAGCTATAAAGATTCTTCCTTCCATCAAAGACTGGCATGGCGCCTGCGAGGACGTCGGAGTTCTCCATCACAAGCTTCCTCTTGATCTTTCGAGCTATCTCCTTGGACGGCCGCGGTGAAATATCAACATCGTAGTGGAAAATTTGCTGTCTTGGATCGAAGCGGACTAGGAAATGGTTAGCAAGAAGGGAAATTGGGGAGCCTTCATTGCCACCATGATCTGGTCTTCGAGCCACCGCCATTGGAGAGAAGAGTTTTGCGTCTCCATCAAAAGAAGTTGATGAATTCATTGTTTTACCATTCTTTGCTGGTAATATACTGGTTTTCGGCTTTATAAGCTCTGTATCTGAGAAAGTTCAGCTCAAATAAGAAGCTAGCACAGCCATTGTTAATAAATCAGAGAAACAATGTGCAATTTCAGCAGTTTTTGTCTGAAATAAGTAAAAAGATTACACCTTGCTTAAAAAATGATGTAAATAAATATAAACAGTAGCAGACACATGGCCAAAAAAGATCCAGGAATCAAATCTTTTTATGTTCGTCGTAGGGAGGAAAAAAAAAGAATAAAATAAAAAAATGAACTTGGAACAGGGCCTACAGGGTAGATCGACGAGAACCTGAAAAAAAAAACTGGCGAAGAAGAGAAAGCGCCAAACCTTGAGGAATGGGGAGTAATGCAACTTGAGCGTCTGAAGATCCAGAGCGAGGAGGGTTTTGATTCCTGAAATTCTTCTGAAAGTTAACTTTTGATCTGGGAAAACTGAGGTGCGGAAGAGATGGAGTTGGGGGTATAAACAGAAGCAAGGGAGGCGTGATGGGAAGAGGAAGAAGAGCAGGGTGGGCTTGGTATCCTCTCTGCAAGTAGAATCTCTCATGAAGAGGATATGGAACAGTGTTGCAGAGCTCCATTAGAGTGTTCGGCTGAGTTCTTCTTCCTCCTAAATGATTGAACTTTCTGCTACCTCTCTTCACATCCTTAGCTTCCTCCATGACCTTTTTTCTCTGCGTTTGTCTCTCTCCTTAGAGGGAGGGAACAAAGAGGATGTGTGGGCAGATATGAGAGAGGAGTTGAGGACAAAAGGAAGCCGTAGTGATTGTTATTACAGTGCTGACAGCAGGAAGGAAAAGGGCAAGGTTCCTAGAAGCAGATATGTTGTGCTTAAACTTAAAGTTTCCTCCTTTCTGCTTCTGTTGCCGCTGTACTAACTTTCTCCAAGGTTGAATGAGATTTATGGAAGGAGTAAACTTCAAAGGAGATGCCAATGAGATTGTGGTTTAATGGTTAGGTATTTTTTAGGGTACTTCTTTTTTTTTTTTTTTTTTTTTTTTTTTTTTTTTTTTTTTTTTTTTTTTTTTTTTTTTTTTTTTTTTTTTTTGAGATGGACAACAAAGAGGTTAAAATTGATATTTCAGGAGGAGAGGAAAAAGATTAAATTATTCTCTCATATAAGTAAAAATCTGAATTTGCGTATGTCATAACTCACAGACCAATAGTTTTTATTTTCATCAAATTTTCAATAGTTTGATCGATGCACGTGTAAATACATCAGTTCAAAAAAATCACCTATGTGGTTAATTTATGAAAATCAATATTTCCGATGATTTGTATGTAATTATCTCAAAAATGTATTACTAAAGAGACAGAAAAAGCCAATAAAAGAGTTTTGGGTTACACTGACTTCTCATAACAAAGGGGTGCAATACTTATAAATAAGGTTGAGTTATTTGCATACATAGAATACAAAACAATCAATTTTATATATTTATCCCTAAAGTTTATTTTTTTTTTCATGCACTATTCTTACTCACACAAGTGCAAAAATAATTAAAAAAAATGGGTAAAATATGTAAAATTTAATATTTTGTGTGCTATTTATGTAAATCTCCCTATTGTTAAACATTAAACCTCATCAAAGTATGTAGTGGCCTAAAATTAGCATGTTTTTCATGTAATCATTGATTGATGAGATATATTATATATTACATAAAGAAAGATAATGGGAGCAATTAGCAAAGGTGGTGGATCATTATTTTATATTATATATATGGTTTGTATCTCAATATACATTATCCTTCACATAGTGATGAGATTAAGATGTATTTTATAAACAACACTTCTTCGTTCTAATTGAATTCTTAATTACTTTAATTACACGGCTCTCTGAATTTAATGACATAACATTTTTATCTTTTTATCTTTGCAAAATTAGTGCATTTTTAGTTTTATATATATATATATATAAGCTCCCACTAGCTTTAGATCTTAAAGTAAAAATTTATATATATATATAAAAAGCAAATTTAAATATTTAATTAAAAAAAATGTTTTGGATTAGCATAAGTTAATCAAGATGGCATGTATTTTTAAAATAGATAATAGAGCACAACTGTAAATTTGATTAAATTTTATGATTGAATATGTACATGAAAATCTTATCAAATAATATCATTTAAACTTAAAATCATGTATATTATATGTGGAGGTCTCTATTATTTTCCATTTGTTCACCTATGTAGACGTGTGCATTAGGCCGAACCGATTTCGATGGCTTTGTACTGGACATGTGGTGAGAAATCAATCCCCACGAGCGCAAAGAACTGTAGCCGCCACAAAGCGGATGATCCTTCCCACCAAACTGAGAAGGTCAACTAAATAAATTGATCGATGGTTTGTCAGCCTCGAAAAGAGAGAAACAATGGTATGACAAGAGAAAAGATTTATCTACAGTAACAGTAATCTTGATGATTAGCACAACTGGCCGATAATAGAGAATTTCAAGAGTATTATTGACATTTCATAATTTAACTTCTATTTACTATAAATATATGAACAATGGCAAGTAAATTATACCATTTTTCGGGCGAAACCGAAGAATAACACAAATAATATACGCCCAAATCTTTTTTTTTTTTTTTCATTTTCTCTTCTTATTTAAGTTCTATTTCGATGAATTTGTATGAGACATGGGGTGAGGAATCAATCCCCACGAGCGTAAACAACTGGAGCCGACATAATACGAATGATCCATCCCACCAAACTGAGAAGATCAACTGAACAAAGTGACGAATGGTTCGCCAACCTGGGAAAGAGAGAAACATTGATCTGACAAGAGAAAAGATTCAACCACAGTAACAATAATCTTAATGATTAGACAGACAATAGATAATTTCAAGGGTATCATTGATATCTCACAATGCATATATATATATATATATATATATTTGCAGGAATTAAAACATGCTTGCAGAGAGTAGATGTTTGAAGTGTGTATACCTATATATAATTTATTTGCTTAATATATTTCTGGCAAGGAAAGAAGGATTGGGGTTGGTGGAGGGGAGGGGTGGGGGCTCAAACCTCTATGAATAAAAAAATAAAAAATATATATATAAAAATTTGTAGAAGAAAAACTATACAAAAATCAATAATTAACATCAACTGATGATCACACTACTGCACAAATCTTAATGAGATCCAAAGGCTCAGATGTTAAACCCCCCTTCCGGCTTCTTTTCTCACGAACTAAAAAAAAATGCATATTCCCGCGGGCAGGTAATCACGGGCCTGCAAAATTGTATTCGCCAAAATAATTCGCCATTTGTCACCTTTCGGCCCAAAATTTAATTGGAAATTATTTGGCAAAATGGCACTCCCCTGATTTTTTTTCATTATTTTGGCACCAATTAATTAGCTTTTTATTTAAATGATATTATTTACATAGCTTTAAAGTATGTCTTTGTCACCTTTGGATGGCCGACCCTTTCTCCCCCTCATATTTCTTTTCACCATCATTTTCATATTTCATGTTGTTGTAATGCATTTATTATCCGGTGCACGTTATATTTTTTATTTTTAAAATTAGCTCTTTCAAGACAAAATTTCGCTTCCAGTCTCATTTTCTAGAGAGAGAGAGAGAAGGCAATGGGAGCTTGGAAGCTAGGCCGAGGCTTCCAAGACAGTCATACATTGATAAAATAGAGGAATAATTCATTTAATTATAACATTGACCTCACATTCAATAATATATTGTTACATATGAAATGGTTAGTAGGCTCATAAAGCTCATTTGGAGTCAAATAATGCAAATCAAATAAAAAAACACATTAATTAATTATTTTTTTTTATTTTTAAATATTTGATGCTCATGTAAATTATGTGTATATAGTCCAACTTCCACAAGTAAGCCAAGTATAATTTTCTTAATTTAAAAGAAAATAAAATTCTTGGAGCTCGTAGAAAGTATGTGATCGGTTCATTTTTCGTACGGTTTTGTTTTGTTTGGGTATTTAGGGTCAGTTAGAGACATTTGCGGATGTTTGAAAAAACAACAGTTGTTATAAGGGGGTTGTTATAAATTTTTTTTATCTTAAAAAATCAAACCCTAGCTTTTTGGTAGCCACCGTACTTAGCTTGGTTTAGTAGCTCTTTCTCTCAACCTATTGAGAGAGCCTACAAAAAATAGTTTTCTTAAACGCCCAGTGGTGTGGTCTAGACCACAGCGTCACTGCTCCCCCAAACACGAGAAATTATTGCATCAGAACACTTAATGCAAATTTGCATCAGGTGTTCAATAACAGGGAGCCACGTGGTAATTTGGGGCCACTGGCATACACTGTTCGGGCCCGGGTTGTCACATGACACCCTGTCATTGGTGTCCTGATGCAATAACTTTTCCCCAAATACACCCTTAACTGAAAGTGATCGAGAATTTTAAAAATAACATCACGTACAGTAGTATCACGCATATTCATAATGTCTTTATGAAAAGTTCCCGATGTGGTTGTCATCATGTCATGCTACACTAAATAAAAATGAATGCACGTAGTTTTAGGTAATGATGATTTTGTCAGATGACCAGATGGGCTTGGTCCAACCTCTTCAGTAAATGTGTTCGGCCTATTTCATGGGCCTCCGAGGACCTTAAGGTCTATTAGTCATCACGTCTTACCCATGTATCAACCCTTCTCAATTAACTGCAATTTAGTATTTATACATATACCCATTTTTATTTACATTTAAATGTAAGAATTCAAAATAAACATATAATTCTTTGCTTGGTGGCATCACCCATCAACTTATTTAAACTATAGTTCTCACATCATGGAAATATGAAAATAAATTTATTGGCAACCACCACTACTTTTCAACTATTTCCAATCAGTTCAACATATATTTGTTTGACAATCCCTCTTGTTCAAACCGGGCTTGTACATGGACTTTTTTGTAATTTATGATTTATTTTAGTGGCATTTATATACCACCCATTTCTTATGTATTTACATATTTAACATATATATATATATATATATACCACCTTATATATATATATATAAAATGAAAGTGTGAAAATATTTCTCAACTATTTACAAGTGGCCATTTTAGTCCCAATTTTTATAGAAGTGTCAAAATAGTCCTCGTACTTGTTAAATTGGGCCGATAATAATTTGTGTGAAGACTATTAGAGCTCAATTTTAAAATAGTCGAGGATTATTTTGACACTTCTATAAACTTTTGGCACTTTAAGTGTGTGTGAGAGAGAGAGAGAGAGAAGAAAGTGTGTAAAGTTTACTGCCTGTAACTTATTACAAAACAGCTGTAAAGCTGTTGAATAATGATCTGATGCTATAAAAGTTGCAGTGATTATTACATTTCATCTCACTTAAACATTCATATTTAAATACATAATTGTTTCGCGTCTTAAACCTATGTATTGAAACTATTATTTTACTTGTAAGAAGTGATAATAATGTTATTTTTGATGTGATGTTAAAGATCTGAGTATTATACATATAAATATGAAAGTTTGTGCATGTGATATGTAAATACACAATTAGTACCTGTTATTTATGTATATGCCCCTAAATTTTTTTATGAATTTAGGTTTTAGATGATTTTCTTAAATAATGTATTGAATATGTAAATATAGAGGATTTGGGTGCTATGTATGTAAACTTTATTATCTACCATATAAGTTAGATAGTGAATTAAAAAAAAAAATCAAGATTAGGATAATACATCCATTATTAAGTTTATTATTAAACTAATGATAATTTTTGGGAGCATTTACTTATATGCCACACAATAAATATTCTTATTTACATACTTACCCATCAAATACTTCACATCACATCAAAAATATCACAATCTTTTTTAAAGCAAATATATATTGCAAACATTAAAGATCTGATCTGTTTGGGGCAGCTGTACATTAAAGATCTGTTTGGGGCAGCTGTAGCTTAT